CACAGCTCTGCATAATCTGGTACTTCAATCCTCAGTGCCTTCCTTCCCAATGATGAGAAGACAGAAAAAGTGCAAAACTGCGGCTCTACTTCTCCATCAAGATTTGGTACTGAAAGCTCATTTTATATCCTTCCTACACTTCTCATACCCTGCTCTTCCTTTCTCTAAAAAGCTAATTTTCCCACCCTCCTTTTTTTTTCCTTCATTTATCCCTTGCATTATTCTTCTTTCTTATTCACTCCTGTCTCTCCTGTCTTATTTTCTAACTTCCCTCAGACCTTAAAATAGCTCAAAATGAACTAATAATTCAGCTCCTTTAGTGACTCTCAAATTCAGCCCGTTGCTGGACCTTGATTTATGCAACTTATTATTATTTTACTTCTTTTTCCTTTCTATGCACTTAATAGGTAATTTTCTTTGGCTATTAAAATATAGCAATGCTCTGGTTTTAAATAAACATGCTGTCAAATAACTTCTCTAAAAAATTATGTATTTATATATATTTCTTACCTTCTACTTGTATATTTCTGGTATGTTTTCCTTTTTCATCTGCAGCCCCAGATAAATGATCAACAGACTTCTGTGGAAGATTCTCAAAGATACTCTGTTAAAATTAGTATATCAGTAAGGAGTTCCATAAAGATTTGCTAATCCTGGTCTATGAAGACACCTGATTTTTCTATCTTAACAGCAATTAGAGCCAGGCATGGTGGCATACACCCATAATCACACCATCAGGAGGCCGAGAAAGAAGGATCAGTGTGAGTTCGAGGCCAGCCCGAACTACAAACGTAGCGAGACCTTGTCTCAAAAAAAGGAAAAACGCAATTAGATTTAATAATGGGAAGCACATACTGAAAACCAGAACATTTCAAGGAGAACCTGATGTCAAGCCCATTTTGTTTCTCCACGTGGGTGCTGACTCTGTAAAGCAAGCATGGAAAGCCACAGGAGAGATTTATACACAACATACTGTCTGATGTGCATTATTTGAATCTGGCTTTAGAATGCCTAACTCTACTTTACATTCCCCAACAAGGATAACTTTATTTAAAAATGCAGATTTAAATGAAGTATTTTCAAACTGTAAGATGTTTTTATGAGTGTATGTTTCGG